TTGGAACATAAAACTGTGAGCCACATTCAGTAGCTGATGTAGGCGATTGCAATTAGTATTCTAAGATTCAACGTTGGTCAAAGTTTGACATTGCCATAAGGCAAGTTTCAACTACTGTAAATAGTGTTACTGTCTTGTAGGGAAAAATATAAAGAATGTGAGAATTAATTTTGGGTCATGTCAGTTCTACTTGTATACTACTTTCTGCCACCAAAAACATATAGAACTCCTTTTTTGCTGAGAATGGGACAATCCCCACATGTATACTTCCATTTATATTTTATGATGGCCGAGCGCTTGGAGCGAGTGTTCACAAGTTCTGTAAGAAAATGGTAAAAGTGTACATTTTTTGTTAAAACGTTGATGTTTGTGTCAGGCCCTTAAAATAGTCACTTGTCAAAGTTAAGGGGGTGGTGTCTCTTTCTGAAGATTCAGCTGATAATGTGCGATATTCTACATGTACATGTAGTTAAGGCGAGCATTTTGGCAATTTAATATTAATTCATTCGGTCATAAATAAGAATTAAGATATAACTGTTGGTCTTTTATTGTGAAATAGTATGCATATATATGTACAAGGGCAAAGAAGTGATGCTAAGGAGGGTGCTTCATTTTCAAGATTTGTTTTTAATTTCTTTTTTTTAATTGGTATAATAAATCACTCCTGGTGACCATGTGGTAATCGGTGAAAATACAGGTATATCTATCATGAAATAGACTCTACCTTTCAAGTAACACTTTACCTATATACCTTATCGATTAATGGATTATTTATTGATCCAAATCAGCTCTTATTATCACCAACAGCTGCTAAATTCCGTCAGTAGAGTCCTAGATTTTCAAACGTTCAAAATTTCCTACCTGAGCGAACGCCATTTTTGTAGGTGATGGGGTGACTAATCAATAAACCGTACTGATCCGGACTGAAATGAAATTTATTATTATTGTTTAGAAGATTTCCGGACCGCGTCTTTTAGTTGATTATTCACTACGCGATACCAAACGGTGTCGGAGAATTTCACGTTTTCATATAGCAGTGCGCTCTGGCCCCACACCAGACATCTATATGTCAAAATGTCTAAGTCTGGTGTTAGGGCCAGAGGAAACTCAGGCTAAGTATATTACTGAACAAAACCTTTTACATCAAATATATTTTTATGTAACATTATAGGTGTTTGAAATTCTGACTGTAAATTGAGAAAAACTTATATAAAAAAATAAGGGTATTACTACTTTTTTTATAGTAAAACGGTTATTTTTTGATGTTTTTTTTCTAAATTTACAGTCAGAATTTCAAACACCTACGGAAACATGACAGTTTTGCATACATTACTCAACAAACTAATAAGTATAATATTGCTGTTCAAGACAAATCAGGTGAAAATGAAGGGGTGACAGCTTGTGACGTCACATCCAGAAATTGGGAAGACCAATCTCTGTATGAACAGACCATGGCATGAGCTGAGAGGTACTTTGTGCCAGGTTGTTTAGAAATAATAATGCAACAGGTTACTTTTGATCAATTTATTGTACAACATTGATAAGAGATACAGCACATTTAAAAGCATATAGTGTATACCTACCAATATCACAGGGGTCTGGAGGTTTGAATAACTTAAAGTTAGTTCAAGAACTCTTTCCCTTCCAATCCTTAAGGATGTACACCTCTGAGAAGTCAAAAATTTCCTGTATTAAACTTTTTTTCTTAAATGGATTTTTGGAAAAAGGAGTAAATGGCATAGTAGAAAACGCAAAAAAAACATATGTCCGTCTGCTCGTTTTTGTACTTTGATCGGTCAAAGATACCAATTTACCACAACATGTGATTTTAGGTGATTTTTTGGGTTTTGACCACTTGCAGAACAAACTCATACAATTTCTTCCCAGTGTGTTATCAGATATGTATAAATGTTTGTAGAATTGTTGAAAATATTATTTTCTTTTAAATTATGGAGGTAAAAATTCTTAATCTTATTGTTTTAACTCAAAAAGCCGATTTTAGTTACCCCTACCCCCTATTTTTTAATGAAAAAATACTCATTTTTTACCATTTTTTTACAGATAAAACGCTTGATATAAAAAGTTCTGGTATTTAACTTTTTTTAATATTTAATGAATTAAATGAAAACGTGTTTCTCTTTCTAAAACATCTACAAAAATGGGGGGTCAGTGTGCTTCTTTTTTTGTCCCATTATCATTTGTGTTATTTTTTTACTTTTTTCGGGGTCAAAAATAAAAAGTGTTTCNAACTTGTCCGAGCTTTCATGGTAATTAACCTTGTTGTGAAGTTTGAAGTTAATCCGTTAATAATTACTCGAGATATCGAGCGGACACTATTTCGGCAAATCCATAAAGGGGCATAACTCCACAAATTATGGTTGGATAATGGCGGTTATCGAACTTGTCCGAGCTTTCATGGTAATTAACCTTGTTGTGAAGTTTGAAGTTAATCCGTTGATAATTACTCGAGATATCGAACGGACATCGTTTGCCCGCCCGACCGCCCGCCTGCTCACGTGATAACATAATACGTCCCCGTCTTCGACGGGCGTATAAAAAGGTGAAGTTTTGGCCTTTTTTGAAGCACAAGAAATACACACTAATACACATTTTCAAAATGGCCGCCGAATTGGTAATTTTTTTCAATTCTTGTAAAAAAAGTTCTACGAACAACAGGCATCTAGTTTTTTGACATATTTTTCAGATGCGTGTTTGCTAATAAACTTGATCATAAGTTGTTAAATATTACAAAAACCCATTACACCAGATCAAAACGAGACTTGAACGTGATTGAAACCTCAGAAGAGTACATTCTTAAGGGTATTTACTGTAAACACCACCTATTTTAGTGGCATATGACAACTATATATGAGTTGTAAATAAACTTAATTTAGTGGTATATGACCTATATATGCCTGTAACCCCCCCCCCCCTTTTTTTGCAGTATAAAACTCATTGGTCCGATGGATATATGCTGAAAACCCTTATTTTAGAGGTACCTGACAGCTGTTGGTTGTTTGGTTGTAAAGGGTTTAACGTCCTATCAAAATCCAAGGTCATTTAAGGACGTGCCTCCAAGTGTGTTGTGTATGTGTGCTGGAGGCTGGGTATGTTGGTGTATTTGCCTACATGTGGTAGTGCGGATCTGATGCCAACTAGATAGTGCAATCTCACTGAAATACCATGCTGAAGGCACCCAGCACAGCATTCTGCCCAGTCACATTATACTGACAACGAGTGAACCAGTTGATGCCATTGCCCCAAATGCTGAACAATTATTTTAGCAGTACCGAACCGGTGGTCGGGTGGTGCAGTAGATAGCGCACTCGCCTTTCATGAATCAAGGCGGTCGGGGTTCAATTCCCTGATTGGACATGCCTGCCCGACCACGTGGATTTTCTCTGGGTACTCTGGTCTCCTCCCACAGTAAGACCCCCGCGCTAATAACTGGGCCAACAGGAATGATAAATATAAGTTGAAATAACTTTTTCCTATAATTGAAGTAGAATAAATAAAGTTTATATATTTTGAACACTTATTTCAGCAGTACCTATCAAATGTATACAAACAAGTGGATTTTTTTCTTTCTAATTTGCACTGCATGTTGGACTTCTTAAAAAGTTCCAACAGATAGTAGCCAAGCTGGACAAAAAAAAAAACTACACAGGAAGCATTTGTACTATAGCAAATTTCTTAAGTGGAAAATGTCTTCATTCAGCCAAACAGAGGGCAAGGTGGTATCTGTTCACAAGCTGGGGTGACTATACTGGATTTTCAGAGCGGCTCAAAATTAACAACACTTTGTCAAGAAATTGTATAAAACATTCTTACCAAGCTTCGAGTCTATCACTTCAACGGATCTTAGGATGTAGGAAATGTTCAATGGTTAATGGAGGACAAAGATGGACAGCATCAATCAGGTGAAATATAAAGGAAGGCAGGGTGAGACATCACAATATAATCAATGTGAAATGCAATTGATATAAACCATGAGCACTCGATTTTCACACAAGATAATTCCGAATCATTTTATATACCTAGGCTAAGTGTATCACATTAAAAGTAAATTTCCTTCCTTTTTTTTTTTAAAAGAGAGAAAATCTTCTTGTACATATTGTGTGATGATTCATTTCTATACGAGTGCCATGTATTGCTTCTGATAACTTAAGTTAAGGTCTACCGATTAATAAACAATCTCCCTCTAATATGGCACTGTTGATAATAATATAACAGCTTTTATATCTACTTCTTCCACAAACATCTTTATGTAAAAATCAGAAAATAATTACCTTATTCACAAGTACTTTAAAGCTTTCAGTCTGACATAAAGACTTCATTTCTTAAACACGTTCTGAGCTTTATCCAATGTAGTTGTTATAAGCTTAATTAGCTGGATCCTAGGAAGTTGAGTCAGGCTTAATTACACACTTAAATTGAAGTTTTCATAATAACAATTAAAACAAGGGTAATGTGAAAGCAAAACATAATAAGCCCGTCATAAATTGAATGAGCAGTTGTTTAGTACATAAAGGGTCATAACTCCATAAATTACGGTCTGATAATTGGGGTTATCAAATTCATTCAAACTATCACGGCAATGAACCTTCCTATGAAATTAAAACTTAATTTGTAGAAACTACTGGAGATATCGAGCGGACACTCTTCGCACCTATCCAACTGTCTGCCCGTTCAGGTGATAACATCATACGTCCCGACAGGGGTATACAAATGTTTTGTTTACCATCTAAAGGTACCATCTTTTACAGTTTAAGCAGTAAATATATATAGGATCTTAAATGAGTTTTCATTTCATATGAGATTTTATGAAACCAGTCTTAGGTCTTAGGAGTTTTTATTTTTGCGAACTTTTGCGAGCAAAAATTAAAACTTTGAGATTAGTTTCATAAAAGCTCATATGAAATGATAAAAAATTTAAAATACTTTTTATCTTAAAACATCAAGATACCTTGATTGATATATCGAAAAATAACAGACAACCGTTAATTGTTATAATTGTGTACTGTTACCAACAGGCTGACAGATATTATCTACAGGAGATATCAGAACAAACAGATGGTGTCTTTGCTGGATTTTTGGGATCAGAATCACGTGGTGTTATAAACACAATCACGCGGTGTTATAAACACAAGTACAAACTTACAGGTAGAAGTTTCAAATGGTAATAAATAGTTTTGCAAACTGCTAAATCAATTTGCACATAGAAAGAATTGGGTTTTATAATACAAAAATATGTGATGTTTAAAATCATAGCAAACAACTTATAATATAGTAACCAAGCCACAAGGTTTTCTATTAAAATCCTGGTACATTTTTAATGATAAGTGGCCATGGTTTAGTATAATTTTCAGATTTAAAGGTAACAAGAATTTGTTCAAGGTATTGCCATAACAGAAGTCGATAGAGTGATGACAAAGTTTTTATAAAAATAGTAAAAGTGACCTTGACCTTTTAACCAGTAACCCGAAACACAAATTTGTTCAAAGCATAGCCATTCCAAACACTTGTACAAAGTTTCACGAAATTCCGTTGAGGAATGAAGTGGCTAGAGCGATGACAAAGAGTGTAACAAACATTTCTATATCTCCTAGAACTTTTGTTGCGAGGGGAAAATAATTCTTGATTTTTGAAATTTTTCTTCTTGATGATCACAAATATGACTGAATCAGTCAATCAATCACTTTCGTCCATATCAAGTTCCTCTATCACCATGATGCTACTGCTATCCGCCTCAGCTTCAGAAGGGACACCTCCACGACTCTCTTTATGGCTTTCAGGTGTCTCAAAAATTATTTTTTTGGAGACTTGCATGTCTTCTTCTGGCATGTCTAAAACAGACCAATAAAACATGGTATAAAGTAAAAACTTCATGTTGCTATCATTTATTTTTTAACCCTTTCACCCCTATGTAACTTTAGTAGAGTCTACCATGCATTGATATGGATGAGTCCATTATGGTCTTCAGTGGTGAAAGGGTTAAAGAATGCATTAAAGTTGGGGTCATGCAATCAGGATAATTATTTACAAGGCAAGTCCCTAATAGGGGGAAAAGCTGCACATAAAACAAATACCTGGTATAGGATTTTTCAAAATTATGGAATAAAGATAAGAACAAGATGTATTAATGAATAAACATTAACATTAATAAAAAAAACATGGTGGAAAATGCATCTTAAGTTGGTTTAAAATCCTTCATGATTGCCCAATCTTGAACAGCAAATTATCATTAATAAATGATTTTTTAAAGTTTATTAGTGCAGAGATCTTTTGAAAAGGATATATATAAATGTCACACTAAGGTAGCATGTAGCCTAAAGTTGGTGACTTATAACCCACTCACCATCACAAGGGCACATTTCAATCATCAGGGCTTCCATCACATTGTTTAACATGGTTGTTGAGAAAGTGTCATCTCTTCTGATCCCTAAAGCCTGCCGTGCAAAGTTGGACAATCAGTCAAAAACTCAATTGCAAGAAATTGTCAACATTAGGATACAAAAATATTCAATAACAATCTAAATCACAAACATGAGTACCAAAAGCAGAGAGATATGCCTTGATGTTAAAGTATATTGGTACACCACATTTTTTGTTGTTCTTTTTAATATGTTCTGGGTTAATTGAATGTACAATACTAAGATAACCTACTACTATGTATAATTGTTGTTGCATTCAATATGGCTGTCAATCTTTTTTTCAAAATCTCACATAAGAATTGAGATAAGCATCAATAGTTTAAATGTAACTTGTTCTTTAACCCTTTCACCCCTACGTAACTTTAGTAAACTTACCATGCATTGATCTGGATGAGTCCATTAAGTTCAACAGTGGTGAAAAGGTTACAACATTTGTTATCATGTTTTGGATATGTTGAACTGGAAAATACTTACAGTAATAATATTCAGTTTTGGTTTTACAATACAATGTATGTGAGGCCAAGAAGCTGCAGACAGCAATATTGACAGTCTAATCACAATAACCTTACTCTAGTATCCATCTGGGTGGCCATCATCAAGATTAACAGCTTCAATATCTTACTATTGTCCCTTTCACCCCTATGTAACTTTAATAAACTTTCCCATGCATTGATCTGGGAAAGTTCATTATGGTCTTCAGTGATGAAAGGGTAAATTGTTAGCTGAAACCTCATTTAGTTGTAATGAGCTGGTTGGTACAGTCACATTCAGTCTCCTTGAGGGCTGTCCTACCCCTGTTATGTCCGACTGATCACTCAGTTTCTGTTAGTGATTGGCATGGTCTAATACCTCTCTAACTATTGGTTTACTGGCCTCCCACATTGCCATAAATACTGTTGACCAAAACCTGACGGTAATAATCAGAAATATGGAGTTTCATGAAGGTGTGACATTGTACTAACAAGAACTTCATACTATGTGTTCAGTTGAAGTAGGAAGTTAATGAAGCCATTTACCAGATGATTTTTATCAGATTGCGTGGGATCATGTGCACAAGGAAAAGAAGGCCCAATATCTTGAGACTTACACTCAAATTGTGAGAGCTGACAGGTTTAATATCAACATATGTAGATCTAAAATGATCCAAGATTTCATGGTTACCTTGTCGAAGTAGTCTACTGCCATGATGTTATTTCCCATCAACACATAACAGTAGCCGATGGCGGAGTAGGTAGATGGATTCTGTGGGGAGAGAACCTGTGCTTGTCTGTGATAATCCAACGCTTCCTCATACCTCCTACAACACACAACACTATCGGTTAGCACAAAGGTGGTAGAGAGTTTATGGTGGTACATTTCATTAGGAAATATGAAAATTTTAAATTTTAAAAGTAAATTCTTTTGGAAAATACTTACTTGAGTTAGGGACAGGTGTGTATTTATCTTACTTACTTGAGTTAGAGACAGGTGTGTATTTATCTTACTTACTTTAGTTGGGGACAGGTGTGTATTTATCTTACTTACTTGAGTAAGGGACAGGTGTGTATTTATCTTATTTACTTGAGTTGGGGACAGGTGTGTATTTATCTTACTTACTTGAGTTAGGGACAGGTCTGTATTTATCTTACTTACTTGAGTTAGGGACAGGTGGGTATTTATCTTACTTACTTGAGTTAGAGACAGGTGTGTATTTATCTTACTTACTTGAGTTAGGGACAGGTTGGTATTTATCTTACTTACTTGAGTTGGGGACAGGTGTGTATTTATCTTACTTACTTGAGTTAAAGACAGTTGTGTATTGATCTTGCTTAATTGAGTTAGAGACAGTTGTGTATTTATCTTACTTACTTGAGCTAGGGACAGGTGTGTATTTATCTTACTTACTTGAGTTAGGGACAGGTGTGTATTTATCTTGCTTACTTGAGTTAGAGACAGGTGTGTATTTATCTTACTTACTTGAGCTAGGGACAGGTGTGTATTGATCTTGCTTACCTGAGTTAGAGACAGTTGTGTATTTACCTTACTTACTTGAGTTAGAGACAGTTGTGTGTTTATCTTACTTACCTGAGTTAGAGACGGTTGTGTATTTATCTTATTTACCTGAGTTAGAGACAGTTGTGTATTTATCTTACTTACTTGAGTTAGGGACAGGTGTGTATTTATCATACTTACTTGAGTTTGCGACAGGTGTATTTATCATACTTACTTGCGACAGGTGTATTTATCATACTTACTTGGGACAGGTGTATTTATCATACTTACTTGAGTTTGCGACAGGTGTATTTATTATACTTACTTGAGTTTGCGACAGGTGTATTTATTATACTTACTTGAGTTTGCGACAGGTGTATTTATCATTCTTACTTGTGTTTGCGACAGGTGTACTCATCATCCTTACTTGTGTTTGCGACAGGTGTATTTATCATACTTACTTGTGACAGGTGTATTTATCATACTTACTTGAGTTTGCGACAGGTGTACTTATCATACTTACTTGTGTTTGCGACAGGTGTACTTATCATACTTACTTGTGTTTGCGACAGGTGTACTTATCATACTTACTTGTGTTTGCGACAGGTGTACTTATCATACTTACTTGTGTTTGCGACAGGTGTATTTATCATACTTACTTGTGTTTGCGACAGGTGTATTTATCATACTTACTTGTGTTTGCGACAGGTGTACTTATCATACTTACTTGTGTTTGCGACAGGTGTACTTATCATACTTACTTGTGTTTGCGACAGGTGTATTTATCATACTTACTTGTGTTTGCGACAGGTGTACTTATCATACTTACTTGTGTTTGCGACAGGTGTACTTATCATACTTACTTGTGTTTGCGACAGGTGTATTTATCATACTTACTTGTGTTTGCGACAGGTGTATTTATCATACTTACTTGTGTTTGCGACAGGTGTACTTATCATACTTACTTGTGTTTGCGACAGGTGTACTTATCATACTTACTTGAGTTTGCGACAGGTGTATTTATTATACTTACTTGAGTTTGCGACAGGTGTATTTATCATACTTACTTGAGTTTGCGACAGGTGTACTTATCATACTTACTTGAGTTTGCGACAGGTGTATTTATCATACTTACTTGTGTTTGCGACAGGTGTATTTATCATACTTACTTGTGTTTGCGACAGGTGTACTTATCATACTTACTTGTGTTTGCGACAGGTGTATTTATCATACTTACTTGTGTTTGCGACAGGTGTACTCATCATCCTTACTTGTGTTTGCGTCAGGTGTATTTATCATACTTACTTGTGTTTGCGACAGGTGTACTTATCATACTTACTTGAGTTTTCGACAGGTGTGCCCCAGGTTGTTGAGGAGTGGTTCCCATTTCTCCACCATTATCTGATCACTCACACTCTCTACCTTAGACAGAGCCTCCTTAAAGTAATGATGGGCTTTTATCCAGCTGTAACATGAAGACCATTGAAACAGTCATTAAATCACCACTGACACATCATATACAACAAAATGTCTCATCAAAACAAGCTGCCAAACATATATTATATATCAGTAGTCTCAACTTCAAAAACAGCAACAAATAGCAGTTATAGAATCATGAATGCCAATACAAACATTGAAGTATTATCAGTCGGAAGTTGTTAAGATAATTAACTTCTGATTTTGGTAAACAAGCATATTGATAATGAAGACCAAAATTAATACTGAGTCACTATTCAATTAGAACAGTATGTAGTCTAAATAAGCTAAGGAAACCTTATTAAAACTTTTGACATATTGTAAACATACTTGAATCATACAAAGGTATACATGCATTAGTAATATTTAATGCACACAATAGCACATAACCTTTAGAATTTACTACAGGTAGATGTGTTCCCTAAAAAGAGAGATGGAGGTAATTTTGAAATCTGTCTTTGGAGCAAGGTACAATAAGGACACTTACTAACAGAATCAAGGAATCAAAACACCACAAGGACGTTTTGTGTTATTTACTGTCCACATGTATTGGCCTGCCGTGCGGCCATCAACTTGTAAAGCTGTTTGTGCACACAATTCCAACAACTGTTAAAGTTTGTGTTGTTGTTATACATGATAAGGCATCCTTAAATAAATGTTTGTTGGCAGTTTCCAGACTGACTCAAGAAAGTGGAACCTACTCAAACTTTCTTTTTAACTTTCGGTTAGAAAAAGATTGATTCTTGCTGAAAAATCACTGAAATTTAACTTTTGTTTATAGAAATATGATATTTATAATATTGAATAAAAAATCCCTACCTACCCACTGAAAGAAATCGTGAGTAGGGAAAATAAACAAACAATTTTTTAAAAGTGGCCTTACTAAACTCCCCCCCCCCCTCCCTCCCATGTGATCAGTCCTTTTTCAGGGGAAAACAATTTTGCCCTGACTTCTCCTATAGGAAATACCATATGGAACTTACTCAAGATTCTGAAAGGCTATTACACCCATCTCATGTAAAACAAAGGGGTCTTCTGGAGCTATACTGAGAGCCTGACTGAAGAAACGCTCAGCCAGCTTACTGTTGTTGGTGAGGCCATACTCGAGTCCGACATACAGAATGGGCAGGTGGCAACCCTTCATCAACTGGGATGCTGTGAAGTAAGCCGCCATGGCCTGGTCATGTTCATTTTCTGTCGCAAACGAGTGACCAAACGCGAGCCAGGCTGGACCATATACCCTGTCCATGGAGGTGGCCTTACTGTAACAAAGGAAACCATGCTTGTAAGAAAAGTATAAGGTTAGCATTGTGTTGATCCAATCAGCTTATTTATTAATATTGATGTTTCCAAGCTCCTTGCCCTACTAAAACTTTAAACTGAAAAATAAATCGTTCCTCGAGTATTCTACATTTGAGCTGAACGGGACTAAAAGTTCCCTGTCGCTTTACAACGTTTGAAGTTTAAACATGTAACCTGGACCTTAAGTCAATTGACTCCCTGTTAAGTTCTGAACAACTTTGTTTCATTATAACATAAAAAAAATGTTCATCAGTGAAAAGATACAATATTTGACCTTGACCTTTGACCCAGTGACCTTGACCTTTAGTCAAATGACTCCTTGTTTAATTCCAATCAACATTGCTTCAAAGTGTCATAACGAAATGCCACCAGTGAAAAGATACTAAATTAGACCTTGACCTTTGATCAAGTGACCTTGAACTTAAGTCAGTTGACTCTTTGTTAAATTCTGAGCAACATTGCTTCATAATGTCATAACGAAGTGTTCACTAGTGGAAAGATACAAAATTTAACCTTGACCTTTGACCCAATGACCTTGACCTTTGATCAGTTAACTCCTTGTTTAATTCTAACCAATATTGCTTCATAGTGTCATAACAAATTGTTCATCAGTGAAAAGATACAAAATTTAACCTTGACCTTGACCTTTGGTCAGTTGACTCCTTGATTAATTATGACCAACATTGCTTCATAGTGTCATAACAAGTTGTTAATCCGTGAAAAGCTACAAAATTTGACCTTGACCTTTGACCTTTGACCCAGTAACCTAAACCTCTGACACGATGACCTTAACCTTCGGTCAGTTGACTCCTTGTTTAATTCTGATCAACTTTTCTTCATCATGTAATAACAAAATGTTCATCAGTGAAAAGATGCAAAATTTGACCTGGACCTTTGAACCTTATGATCTTGACCTTTGACCTTGACTTTTTACCTCAGTGTGTATTTTTGTGAACTGAACAACTTGACCAAGTTTCATGTAAAACGGTCAATAAATACCAAAGTTATCAGCCAGGAACAAAATGTGTGGATGGACAGACAAAGTGATTACTATAGGGCACCTGTATCGGAGATGCGGGGCCCTAATTAAACAAATGTTGGTCCAAAATGTGATTTCCCTATATAAACTATACTAAGACTTTCCCCCTCCCCAGGGGGACACATGAGACCCCAGGGTAATTCACAATTTTGGTAAAGCACCTGAAGACCCTTCCATCTATGAAGAGTATTTGATTCTACCATATCTGGGTCTAGAGAAGAAGAATTTTGAAATTTCTGTCAATTCAACCCTTTCTGGCCCCACCAATCACCCCCTGGGGGTCAGTCAGGGCCGCTTTGTGCATATCATCAAACTGCTATCCAATACTGATAATGCTAACCAAGTTTGAATTAATTCCAATGGAAATTAAACAAATACTGGTCCAAAATGTGATTTCCCTATATAAACTATAGTAAAGTTTACCCCTTCCCCAGGGGAAAACGTGAGACCCCAGGAACATGAAATTCACTTTTTTTGTAAAGCACCTCAAGACCCTTTCATCTATGAAGAGTATTTGATTCTACCATATCTGTATTTTGAGGAGAAGATTTTTGAAATTTTAGTCAATTTGATCCTTTTTGGCCCCGCCCCTCAGGCCCCTGGGGGCTGGGGACCATATCATTCACAATTTTGGTTTACCTTTGGCCATGGAAGGTTTCTGCAAAATTTCATTGAAATTGGTTCAGGGGTTTTGGAGAAGAGAAAATGTAAATTGTTTACGGACGCACGACGCCGGACAAAATATAATCGCAAAAAAGAGTACAGCTGAAGTTCAAAATTCTTAATACAGCACACAATGAAAAGCCATTTTACAGCTTGTTTATGATGCCTTGTTTATCACAGTTTTCTGTAGAATTGTTAATGTATTCAATTAGAATTGTGAATTCTTATCAATTGATGACGTCCTTGATATATGAACTCTTAACTATGACGTCAAAACAAATAACTTGCCTAATGAACCCATGGGTGTTAACGCTACAAGCTGTCTCCCTGTCTTTGTCTTGATACAAAGAACAATGATTGTATACAACAAGGCAATATTTATACACAATATATGTCACTCAATCCTGTAATATTCAGTTACTGTGATAGTTCTAACGTATTCCTAAGCTTGCTACTTTTATAAATTCAGCCAAATTTCTTTAGTGCTATTTGTAGAAAATAATTCCACAAATTTATGTACAATAACCGATATTTAAATATCTCTGGTCTGGTGTCTTACAATCACTGCTGGGAATTGAACGCATCATACGTACACAGTTAAAATTAACAGTGTTGTCAATAAGAGCCAGCTCCTGGTGATTCACCATCTATTTATTCTGCTGTTTGTGACAAGCTATTCTTCTCTCTTTGCTTTGTAACCTGCGAAAACTCCTGAAATAAATTGCCTCCTAGTCTATCTAAAATGCCCCCATTGTAGTTGTTATTGACAAAACAGTTACACAAACATGAAGTGCAGTTAGCACTAAACACCCAGTTCAAGGCGCTCATGGTTGGTGGGCTAAAGGGAGATTTCCAAACAAGAAAAAAGTGAAAAAAAACATATATGAACTTTTAAAGGAAAGTTTATTAGATTGAAATAACTCATAATAGACCAATCAAATATTGTCATTAAGATTTATCAGTTTGGAAATATGTAATTCAAAGTTTCACTTTAAACACATAATATTAATAATTTGAGGTTCTTATATACCGCTTTATCACAACCTAGATTGTAGGTCGTCTCAAAGTGGTTCACAAATTACGGTTCACATATCAAATGTGTCGCAATGTTTCAAGACCAACTGGTCTCTTTGTAAAGCTACGACTGAGTGAGCAAGTTGTATTGTTAATCTGTACAGTGATGTGACGAAATTGTATATTTCATATGTCACTCCACCTTGGACATTTACCCAATCGATAGAGAGAGTATACACACTATGTCCTGGACATGCTCATCTTCCGAAAAGAAAACAGCGCCATGCATCAAACTATTAGGGTACCTCAAACGGGTAGCTACCCAGACTGGTCAATCAACAAAGTGAAAAGAGCTGTAAAAGAAACAAGCCTTTCAGATTGATATGTCTCGCCTGTGCCCCACTTTGACCATCAATACACATATCAGAGAAACCAACTTAAAAGTAAAAACTTAATGTTGATGGAGATGCTGACAAAGTCAATGGACCATGAAAGGTAGGCCCCATCCAGCATTTGATGCATGGGTTGAGATGTACTACCTAAGATGCATCTATGGTCCTGGTTGGTGTATATAGCACTTATACTTTCACTAAAACCAACCTAAACTCAAACACGTAATGTTGACGCTGCCATCGTAAAAGCAACACCTTAGTCTCGCATCCGCTACTTTGAGGTGGTGAAACAAAACAAGAGGCCCATGGGCCTTAACGGTCACCTGATATATTTATACAGAGAGTTGATTTTGTTTTTAACATGAACAGAAATATTATTCAAAGTGACAAAAAACAATAAAACCACCTTACTCAATATCTAGCATACAGATTTCAGACTAAAAAGGATTTGAAACTAGCACCTCTGATTCTTAACAAGGAAAATGAAGAAATTTTAGCACACTGACTCCTTTGAGCCCCACCCTACAGCCCTTGGGGGTAGGGCTGGCTCAAAATTTTCAAAGTATCAAACTGTCAATTCAAGGTTATAATTCCAATCAAGTTATTAACATGTAATATTCAAAGTATCATTTGCCATTATAAACCATAATAAATTTTGCCCCCCCCCCCCCCCTTCCCCAGGGGGTAAACGTGAGACCCTAGGGTCATAAACCTTAAGACCCTTCCATCTATGAAGAGTATTTGATTCTACCATATCTGGGTCTTGAGAAGAAGAATTTTGAAATTTCTCTCAATTCAACCCTTTCTGGCCCCACCCATCAGCCCCTGGGGGTCAGTCAGGGCTCATAGGTGCATACTATCAAACTGCTACCTAATACTGATAATGCTAACCCAATTTGAATTACTTCCAATGGAAATTAAACAAATATTGGTCCAAAATGTGATTTCCCTATATAAACTATAGTAAAGTTCACCCCCTCCCCAGGAGAAAACGTGAGACCCCAGGGTCATGAAATTCACAATTTTGGTAAAGCACCTTAAGACCCTTCCATCTATGAAGAGTATTTGATTCTATCATATCTGTATTTTGAGGAGAAGATTTTTGAAATTTTAGTCAATTCAACCCTTTTTGGCCCCGCCCCTCAGGCCCCTTGGGGCTTGGGACTAAAGCGGCCACAATTTTGGTTTACCTTTGGCCATGGAAGGTCCCTGCAAAATTTCATTGAAATTGGTTGAGGGGTTTTGGAGAAGAAGATTTTTGAAATTTTAGTCAATTCAACCCTTTTTGGCCCCGCCCCTCAGGCCCCTTGGGGCTTGGGACTAAAGCGGCCACAATTTTGGTTTACCTTTGGCCATGCAAGGTCCCTGCAAAATTTCATTGAAATTGTTTCAGGGGTTTTGGAGAAGAAGTCAAAAATGTAAATTGTTTGCGGACGCACGACGGACGACGACGGACAAAAGGCGATCGCAATAGGTCACTTGAGACTTTGTCTCAGGTGACCTAAAAAGAGACAGAAGAAAGAGATGAGAGCCAAACCAAATGCAAAGGCACAATACCCTACGTGAAAGGGACTTTGGTTTGGTTTAATTTTCTTTAACGTCCCATTAACAGCTATGGTCATTTAAGGACGTGCCTCCATGTGTATAGTGTATGTGTGCTTGCATGTGTGTATGCAGGAGACACGGTATGTTGGTGTTCTTGCCTCCTTGTGATAGCGCGGATCTGATGCAACTTTATAGCGCTATCTCACTGAAATGCCATGCCAAAGGCACCAAGCACAGCATTCCGCCCGGTCACATTATACTGACAACGGGTGAACCAGTGAAACAGACATCTGTGGCGTTTGCCCGG